AAGCTCGAGAGCTGCAGTGGTGATTAACACTGGAATCACTGTGGTTTCAGGACTTCCAAACCCGAGAAATGGTGAGGAAGTTGCCCAACTGTCAGCATATGTTCCATTTGCCATGCAACTGATAGCTGCTGGCTCGTCAGGCATGGCTCTTGTCCGCTGTGTAGGAGAGACATATAGACACACCCCTTTCCTCCGTAAATCCAAGTTGAAGTATATATAAACTTTCCTCGACCTTTTTATTTTTCTTATCTGTAGCTACATGCTTCTTTACTTGCCCTTGATCCTTGTGGAATATGCAATCGAATCTTTTTTCTCCGGTCCAATTTAGTTTATAACGAGGAAAACTGCAAACGTGAGAGAGAAGAGTATCAGTCATACATTGCATTTCCTCCGAGGTTGTAGAACTGTGACCTGCTTCATTGGAGTTTGAGCATTTTTCATCAGAATTGCTTGAAGTTTCAGAAATTCCATCAAGTTTTTCCAGCTCGGTAAATTTCTTCGTTGATGAATAGATCATTTGGTTAACAAAGGAGATATAAGCTACTTGGATTGGTGCATATTAATACTTCATAATTGGCAGACAGATCAACCTTCTAACATCAGTTTTACATATCATTAACAGGGTCCAAGTCTGGCTAACTGGTACTTTTGCCTGTGAGAATCCCCTTTTGATTGATTGATCTGTACTGGGTTTTTCAACCACAGTCCTGAGCATTAACCAAAGTCATTTCCGTAGAAATCCGGATCTTCAAATTTGGATTTGGATTTGGATTTGGATTTACAGACAAAGTGCAGCTCTTTAATGCCACATAGTACAGCATGACTATATGCAATCTTAGAGTTGGTACAACAGATTGATTTATATGCTCATACTTGTCAAAGTCCATCAGATTTAATTGTTTAATGAGAACATTTCGCTGTATAACAATAAAACATTGACTAGTTACCAAGCATATATAAAACCATCACAATATCCTTCCATGTCTCAGTCCTCTAGTGTCATTTTCAAGGTGAAAAGCTCTTCTTCCAGGTCTCTCGAGTTGCTTCGAGCCACTCACTCCTGTCTTTGGTGTCGAGTAAAACCATCTTCCATTGAAATAAATGATTTCTTCACTTCTGCTACTGGTTGAATTCCACCAGTGGACTCAAACAATTTCAAGCACAAGTCTTCTTGATGGTAAAAGAATTAGCTACAATCATGCTTTAAACATAATAATGATGATAATCTCAATTTCCAGTCTGATCCACCCAACCCTCAAAGGTGGATGTCATTACAATGCAGCGGTATGCCTCATTGGAAACATTCATTGAAATAGAGGATCTTAACTCACACTACAATGCTTAAACTTGAGACTTACGTTTAAAGTTTGAACCAACCAAGAGCTGAAGGATGGTAATGGGGCTTTAATTCTTGACATCCTAAGGAACAAATTTTCTTCTTTGACTGAACATGAACAAAGAACTGGAGCCAGCAAGCTCTCTTTAACCTGATTCATGACAACAATAAAACCATCATATTATGTATGTTAGCCCATTGATCTAATTGACATGAAGCCCTCAAGTGCATAAGGTCCCTGTTTTGAAGACTGATAAATGGCTTTCACCATAATGAATCAGGGAATGCATCTCCATAAATAATGATTAAGCACTTCAAAATCATGATTAGTTATACTAGAGGCTATAAGCTCAATTATTATATAAAAAAAAAGCAGTTCAAGTTATTATTTATATCATAATCCTTTACAGTTTAGATTAAAGTTGGGTAGACACTGTCAGACAAGCTCTGATTCATTTTAAGAGCAAATAACCCATAACTAAATTCAAGATTGCAAAGCATGATAATATACAAGGGCCCGTTTACTTCACATGGATGAAACCAAGTGCCAAAAACCTGCATGAGACCAATATAACATCAGGCAAAGTTGTGAGTTCCATATAACCTACAAAATTAATACATCAAAATATAACAGAGCTTCTTATCAACATGAGGGGATCTGAAGTACTAAGACCTGATGAAATCAAAATCAAATTATCTCAGCAGTAGGTCTCAATTAAAATTAGCTCACTTGGTCTTTTTGTTTTTGTTTCTTGTTTTCATGATAGAGCAAATAAATGTTCAGATGCTTTCAGGTATAGTGATTTCAGTAGACAACAACTATTCAAACAGCAAGTTCTGCAAATTTCAGTTGCAGGCAACAAGAATTGTAATTCTACTTGGTAGTATACAAGTGAATATTTTTTCGTATGGCACTTGCTACAAATTAAATAAATCTGCAAACCAACAATAAACGAACCCTGCAAAACTGTCAAAATGAAATCTACACATCCATCAAAAGCAAAAAAAAATAAAAGGTCGACAGAGAATTATTTAATGAGCAACAAAGAAGATATTACTAATGCAACAAACTAAAGACACGAACTCAACAATTCCATAGGAGAATCCGTGTTTGTGGTCTCATCCTCTATATCTGCTGCAAGTTGAGTGCAGGCTCTGCAGCAAAATCAGGGGTGGCAGCACTAGGGAATGTGATTAAAGTAGCCACACAAACCAGCTCTAAACTTCTAAATGGTTCATCCATCATCGCATCCTGCCTCAGATCAGAACAATTACAACAACTGCAGATGTCCAAACCTGAAATGTAGCACAAAAGTAAGAAACGAGTTCCACTTGTAAGGCAAGTAATAGCATATAGCCTAATAATAATCACCCCAAAAATGGTAGGTTCTAGAAGCATTAAGGTATTTCTGTAAAACCAGGAATCTGTATCAACTAAACCAAGTAGCACAATCTGTAAGGTCAACACAAGAAAATTTTGATCATGAACACATTAGCATATACAGGAGATTGCATTAAGCTTATATAGGTAGTCTTGTATTTCCATCCAAAAGAACAAGAAAAGAAAAATATTGCATTGATAAGACACTCCACAGACACTGGTAGCACAAATTTTAATTGCTCAGTGATGATTGTCCATGAAATTTAAAAAAGTGAACAGCTTGTTATCTTGCCTGGAAGAATATTGCACACTCCTTTAGAATTACTTCAACTAGGAGCAAACTCACTAAGCCGCCGGTAGCTGCTTTTAACTTTGGCAAACAAAAGATGTCATTCAGAAAAAGAAAAGTTTATATTGCAACAGGAACAACTTGCAATCGAAGGAATTAAACTTACCTGAAGGAGATAAACGAGGGGCTTAAGAGGTCCCATCTCTTCGTGAGAATAGAAAAGTCATACACATTGATTTTAATTGGTAGCTTCTTTTAACACTGGATTCCATGTGAACCAGCAAAATTGGCTGCATTGAAACAAAAAAGATGACAAACTCAAAGGAAAAGTTAGTGGTCTAGCCTAAAATCCAACAGCATTCATTACCCAACTCCAAGAAATTATTTCATGCCACAAGTGTTTTCCAATTTTGTTTGAAAGAGTCGGCACATACTTTTGACGGAAGTGCAAGACTATGATCCATCAAAATGCCTAATTCCAATACTCTGTTACCAAATGGACATTTGGATACTTGAGTTATTTTGCAAGTTTAGTCAAGTTTGTTTTACTCCAATAGTCTGTCACCAATGGACATTTAGACACTTCTACAAGCCAGCTTGTCCAATAAATCTTGACATATGCAAGGTTAGAAAATTAAGAGCCAGATGGACATAAGCTGACACTGAAACCACCAGAAAAAATATCAGTACGTACAATATACACAGACGAAAAAAAAAGAAGAAGACCAATGAACAAGCGATGTGCTGAAGAAGGGTAAGCCAAACCTTCTTCAGAGAATATTTGTAACATGGTACACGAAGACAACGAAACCAAATCTTGAACTATTTGAATACATGAAAAAATTTGAAGGGAGAAAAAGGTATTCTCATTAGATCCAACAGTCTTTTATATTGGACATTTGTTCATTTTCTATTGTTGCTAATTTCCACTTTATATATTATTTTTTGTTTCTAATTAATCTAAAGCATTTAGCTTCTAAGATTAACTATATATGTCTTATTAGATTTTGTACTTACAAACTCTCATTAACTAATAAATTTTACCAATAAATATATTAGTTTGTCTAAATTATTTTATTAACAAACCATTTTTAATCTTAAATATACCTAACAAATAAATCTATTATGAGTTGCAAGTAGGCAACAGCTCAATGGTGACATTTTGTAGCCTCCCATTCTTCACACAAAATGGAATTTTGCAGGTCAATCCCAAAACATTAAAAAAGAAAAAAGCCTTTGCTACAGTGGAGTTACTCTTTGGAGTTATCTTCAGAAAGGGATAGTGTTCATGACTAAATAATTTCTCAGAAGGGCCTCATCAAAGTATAGGAGAACAGTTACTCCTTTCCAGGCTGCATAATACATGAGGATGGTTTCAACTTTAAAGGTTAGCAACATGGTTTAGCTAAATTTTTTCCACTACAAATATTTTCTCATCCACCAAAAAGAGGCTTAGATTCATTTAAGAGGCTACATTTATTATACCTCAAGTTGATAAAAACATGTTCAACCATTACAAAGGAGCCAAGATAACCTGAATGTCCCATGTAGTTTTTTCGTACATTGGAGATAGCCATATGGTAAAACTCTTCTAACTCATCATTTGAGTCATAATCAAACTCAAGAAATGCCCCTAAAACATTGTTCCCAAGTAAAATGTCCAATGCATGACAGTTAATCAGAAAAAATTAAATTAAGGAAAAATTAAATTCAACTAATGATGTATAACCAAGGAAATAAGAGCTGAAGTAAAGAAAAAAAGGAAAAAAGAAAAGGATACTGCAACAATATTCATAATTCTAGAATTTACATTTTCTGTAGTAATCATAGCATAAGTAAACTAATTGTATATCTAAAAACATTATTGGTTTTACAATCAAAGTAGTTCATATCAACATTTAATGATGACAACAGATAGTATGAGGTAATCAGTAACGCAAATAGCTATATTTGCCAAGACAATTTATGAAACAGAAACAATAGCATGGAATTCATGATAAAGCATATAAAGAAACATTAAAGATTATTTTTAGTCACATTCTCAATATAAATCTACAATTCAAGATCCACAAGTTCATGCCATAGAGTTAAACCACACTAGTTGCACTATCCATAGCTCAAAACTCAAAAGAGAAGAGATAGAAAATAGAAGCTAATGACAAAATGGCTACCACATCCACCATTATTTTATATTTATCACCCAATCTTTTTTCCTATCCTCTGTCATCTGCAGAAATAGCTCCATCCACATATAATCTTCATGAAACCGCTCAACTGCCTTGGAGTATGCTACTCCATCTATGCCCTCTAGGGCATTCAGTGCTTGCATGCTTTCTACAATAAGTTTCTTGAGAGTGGATCCAGTCTCAGAAGTTGACTTTGATGGTGAGGGAGTAACTGTCATTTTTCTCTCAGTTGTATCAGACTTTTTCTTTGAATTTTCACCTGGAGAAGTCAAACTACTAGTCTGGAGAGTGGAAAAACTATTTCTTTTTCCCCGACGAGAGCTTGATGGGTTGAAAGATTGGCTTCGTATAGGAACTGCAGACAGCACACCTGTACCACCAGATTGCTCATTAAATGATGCCTCTAAGCTCATCCCATCAATCTCCTCTCTATCATCAGTGTCCAGGGGATTATTGTTCGAAATATGTTGACAGAAATCGGATGCCGTTGTGTCTCCATAAATCACACACAATTTGTTAAACAAAGGGCATCCCTTCTTACGGAATCTCTTTGCAGACTTGTACACCTACATTGAGTCACCATGCACCACCTTATTCACTTAATAAAACTAACTGGTAACGAATGAAAGTAAACCTGTTTGCCCCTGGAGAGCAAATTTACCTTATACAGGCGTTCCCACACCTCATCTGTCGCAGAAACAGAGTCTGTCACTGGGTTCCAGCGAACCCCTGTCTCCTTCATTAGGTTAGCAAAGTCCTTTTGTCGGGTTCTTAGTTGGTTGAACTTATTTCTGAGTTGTGTGTAAGTGTAGTTCCTTTTTGTTTGTGTATTGAGAGTTTCCTCAATGGCACGCCATGCAGGCTTTGAAAAAGTTGTTGATGTTCTATTGCCTTTGTTAACTTCTGCCTCCATGATGTAGATGAACCTTTCTTCGATCTCATCTGGCCATACACTAACATTGAAACCACCCTCATCAACTATATCAGTATCATTCTCCTCCACTTGAAAATCGCTTCCAGTAAAATCAGCCATCTAAAGAAAGAATAATAAACATATGCGTAAAACCTTGTACATGGTTATATAAAAACTACATCCACCAGAAAAATCAATAAATACAACAAATACACAGTAACACAATCTCAAGCAATGCACAATAAATTGACTTGTTTTTCGTAGAAAGAAATTTAAAATATATAATATGGAAAAGGAAATCAATAGTACTTGTATGACTCCGTTTTATCATAACAACCAGTGTCGAAAAAGTGATCTTCATCTTGGTGCTTTACTTGAAAGTTTTTATACAAGTAGTCTGGTCTACAGATAATTCATAACTAAAAACGTAAAAATAAAAAAGAGAAACAACTTCTCTAAACAAATCCTCCTCATACGAGTCTCTCTGTATCTATCAGCACCCCATGGAAAACTACGTTAGTCTCATTTATATAATAAACAAAATAGTCTAAGTAAATTCACAAGAAGTTCGTTGTTTAGTGATTCTTCATACAAATCTTCACTCAATGATATGTGTTTCTCCCAATGATTCTTTCGTAGATGTGCACAATAATTTTTGTAGCCTCAACAATAGAATTCCAGCAAAAAAAGAGCTAAAAACAAAATCTTTATTTACCATAGAACAATTTTGTGGCACCAAAATAAGACCACATATGAACAATGGATTTGTACCAACAACACATGAACAATGCCTACTGAAATAAATGCCAGGTCTCCAGCTTGTGAAAATATTTAGGCTTCAATAGCAAAAATATGAGATTAAAGGAGCAATTCACACGACGTGTTACATTCTACAAGCGTTCGACAACCCAATCGAAACAAGAACAGAAACAAAAAATAATAACGAAGTGTTTGGTCAGAAATTAATCACAGGGTGGGGGCAATATCCTCTCAGGACCAAAAGCAAGAGGCGTAAATATTCGCCAACACCTAAAAACACAAGCCAATCCTCGATCTCACAAACAATTGACGAAGATTGCGGCATATCAGACGAACAACAGAGGAACAGAGAAGAGGAAGGCGGGTGGTACCACCGAGGAGAACGGCGAGGGGACGATCCCAACGTAGGCGATCGCCGAAGGCGAAGGCGAGGGCGGAAGGCGACGGAGGGAGCTGTGTTTCCTAGGGCATCGTTTTCGTTTTGTGTTTTTTTGCTTTTAGAAACAAAAACTTGAAAACCGATGCACGGAACATGTTTGGTAACGCTTTTCTCGACGTTTTATTGTAACTACTCCGAAACGTTGCAAACAAGAAAGAAACCCACGGGCTCACAGCCCGCGGCCCATTAATTACAGTTACGGCCCATTAAATTAATGAGTCATCGTGTCCTCCTCTTCCCCGCTAAAGATGACACATAATAGACGCGCAAGAAAAGACATGTCATAGTTACCTGTTATTGCTTGGAAGAGTATTAGAGACACACTTGTGCGAGTTCTTGATCTCTACGTAAAACCTAGACAGAATTAGGGTTTGTCTCAGACCATCAGGTTCCTTGCTAGGATTCCCTCGAATGTAATACCAGGGCCAAAAGCCAGTATCAGACCCCATTCACAGTCGCTTTCCCCGCTCTCCTTCTTCTTCCTGCTCTCCTCAATGATGTTCTCCAGGACATATATGATTGTGTTGCTACTGGCGTTCCCGAAGTCTCTCAGTGCCTGCCTACTTGCGTTGAGCTTGTCAGGACACAACCGCAGCCTGCTCTCCACCTTGTTCAGTATTGCAGGTCCCCCAGGATGCATTGCCCAGAACATGTCGTTATAGTTAACGTCATGGCTCTCTCCTCTTAAACCTTCCATCGCCAGCTTCTTGCAGAACGCCTCGACATGATCCTCTATAACCAGCGGCAGCTCCCTCCCCAGCAAAAAGCTGATCCCTTCCTCGGTGAGCTCACCCTGGATGGTCTTGTCGGTGTCTGGTAAGTACTGCTGGATGGCTGAGCTCAGCTCAAACATGGGGGTCTCCGTGCCAGGAATGGGATCTGTACCAAGGACAACGGCCCCTGCTCCATCTCCGAAGAGTGCGGCGCCGACGAGATCATAAGGACGGTGAGGGTTCGGCGGTCGGAAACCGACGATGGTAGTCTCGGAGGTGGCGAGCAGCACTCGGCTTCCTGGGTTGTTCTCCGCGATGTCCTTGGCAACGCGGAGTCCAGCGACGCCCCCGGAGCATCCGGCGAAGGAGATCATGACACGGGAGACATCGGGATTGAGACGGAGGGCACGGGCGAGGTGGAGGTCGCCCGAGGGGAAGCGAGCTTCGCTGGAGGAGACGTAGACGAGGTGGGTGATGGCGGCGAAGGGCCTCCCCCATGCCTTCACGCAGGATCGCGAGGCTTCGATAGCCATCTCGGTGACTGCTTCGTGGGAGATCTCCAGCCGCTGCCTCAGCGTGGGCTGGCCATCTCTTGCTAGCTCAGGGTGGTTCTCGAGAATCTCGTCGCACATCACCAGGTACCTTGTTTTGACTGTAGTTGTCTTGCCTGCACAAGAAGAAGCTTATCAAATCTGCTGTGGGTATCGAAATGGCTTTGTACAAAGCTGAAGGAAGCTCGCAGGAAGAAGAAGAGCTTAGGAGTTACAAAGTCGAGTGAGCTTCTTCTTGAGATCAGGATCAGTGCAGTTAGTGTTCCTGAAGTAGCCGTCGACGAGGAGATCCTGCATCACTAGTTGCTTAGGGAAGGCTTTTCCAAGAGCAAGAATATTGGTGGCTTTCCCTCGCTTGATGCTAAAGGATTCGGCACCTCCAAAGCTCCCCATGGTTTTTGTTGAAGGGAGGAGACGAAGGAGTACTTGGCTTGCAATGCTATGGAAGTGAAGTGGGAACGAGCGGCAGCTGGTGTTGGAGTTATAAGCACTATATTTAGAAGGTCGAGTAATATGCTATTATTACATGATCTTGGCGTTGACAGTTTGGGGGTAAATGAAGTTGGTGTTTAGTTGGGGAATAATGCATGCATGAAGAGGAGTTTATAGTTAAGCAGTAGGATTGGGGTTGGTTATGTATCTAAACCGTAACCACGAGTGAGTGCATGATGGCAACCACTTCCTTAGATTCCTTGTCACGTAGAGAGAGAAGTATAACTATCTAAAGCTTATCCTTCCTAGGCATCTCTATCTTGTCAAGACACGATTTAAGGAACGATTTAAATTCGACAAGCTGACAAGGCTAACTTTGTCTTGACCTAAGGCGTGAACAGTCGTTGACATATATCGGCCGTTTCCTCGAAATAAGTCATGATTCGAGTCAGAATATGAATAATATAATGTCTCAGT